CATTCACTACTCAAAAAAAGATGTTACCAAAGATTTTATGTATTTCAGTCAACCTCTGAATCAAAACTCCTCTCAACTACAAAAAAAAAAAATATTTTAAGAAGCTGGACAGATCAGATAGTATCAAAGATACTGTTCTCAAAAGCATTAAGCATCTTGTTCCAGTTTATCATTAGTCAGTCACTGTAGCAAAGAAACTCACTCAAAGCAGTCACAATGGTTCTAGGCTGAAAAGGAGCATGGAGACTAAAATCCAGCTGTGCTCTACTCAACAGGTCACATGCTCTGGTAGCCCTGACTGTGTATCATGGAGAAGGAAGAGAGATAATTTTTTGAAAGGAAAAAGGGAAGGAAATAGGGAGGCAAAGGTATAGTCTGCTCATCATCTAGGTAGGCATCTCTGCTCATAAAACAGGGACATATAGAAAGGCATTTTATAGACTAGAAGCAGCCTTAACATAGGACTGATTTATTAAGAACATTCCTATTATCCTGAGTACTACTTCAAGATGCTCAATGTGATCCTTTTTTGTAACCTTGTTTGGATGAACATTCTGGCAAAAGCTGTGCTAAATGCTTAAGTATTCCAGGGCAAAGAAATCAGCAAGATTTCCAATGAGGTGATATATAACAACAAGGCAGGGCACAACAGGCACACAAAACATCAGGTGCCTACACTCTCCTCTTCACTGATATTCTGTTACAGTTTTAGGTCACTGGCCATTCTGAGGAAAAAAATGAAAACAAACACTAGAGTGTTATGAAATGTCAATATTATTAAAGGATCATTAGTATCTATTAAGTGACTAAGGCTTTATACTGAAAAAATATTATTCACGTATTTCTTAAAAACAGAGAAATCAATCTAAGGAAAGGTCCACATTCCAACAACAGTGGACAAACACTATACTTTGTTTCACATACACAGGAAGACTAATACACACACACACACACACACACATATATATCAATCCAACATGAGACATGAGAACAGTATCTAAATTTGTAACCGTTTACAGAGTATCCCCATATACATCATCTTCCACATTAAAAAATAGGTTATTATTATTTACAGAGAAGTGAAAGATTAAGTGACTTGCACAGTATTTAAAGTTTATTAAGTATGGTGGAACAGACATTCAATCCTAGACCTTCTGACTCAAAAATCTACACTTTTTTCATTAAATAGCACTCCTAATTGCACTAAGCCATAAATGCTTCCTTTATGGTACAATTCATAGAAAATGTCTGATGACTTTCTGACAATTAGCAATCTGAAAGTCATGGAACATCAACTGCTGAAAGGACTAGTGATAAGATTGATTTTAAAATTTAAAATTAATTATATGCTATTAAAAAGTTTAATTAGAGAAGATGGAGGAATAGGCAGACAAGTGACACAGACCTTCTTCAACAAAGAGAAGAAAAACCAGCTGACAAAGATATAGAAGATAATCCTGGAGCCCTGACCTTTGAAAGGAACTATACAGAAGTGATTAGGCACCAACTAGTGGAAAAACCTGAATGAAAACAGTTAGTACAGAGACAGCCGGGGCTGCGGACTGTCAGCTACTCTGATGGGACCTACGGCCTGAATATTTCCAAGTGTTGTTGTTGTTGTTGTTGTTAAGTGCCGTTGAGTCGTTTCCGACTCATAGCGACCCCATGCACAGCATAATGAAACACTGCCCGATCCTGCGCCAGCCCCACAATCCCTGCTATACTTGAGCCCATCATTGCAGCCACCATGTCAATCCATCTCGTTGAAGGCCTCCCCCTCTTTATTTTTTATTTATTATTTATTGATTTCAATAACAACAAGTGGTGTTGGGACCTGAGAATTGACCTAAAGATTAGCCCTGGTTACCAAGGGCTTCAGGGAAGACTGCACTGGTGGTCTATGACTAGGAAGGGAAACAGCAAGGAGGGAGACAACCTAAGCTGTTGACTTTCTGCTGTCCAGAGGGCACAGCCATTTTGATTGTTTACACATGGCAGCCATTTTGGATATTTAAAGTGTTTGAGGGCGCAGCCATTTTGAATGTTTATAAGAAGCAGCTATTATGGATGCTGAAAGTGACCAAGGGCGCACCCATTTAAAATCTTTACAAGTGGCAACCGTTTTGTATTTTAAAGTAATAGCGTTCTCATTTGGATTCCAGGGACCTAAGAATAGGCTCTGTTTGCCATTGTCGACAGGGACATACAGGAGGCTGACAACGGGAAAGGAGACAGGTGGTGAGGGTATAAGTGCTGCCCACTACTGAACAGAGGAGCACAGCACAGTATCCTGCTTGCATATAAACATACAAAGAAAACAAAAATCATGAGCAAGTCACTCCAACATACAATCACCAATTAAATATAAACACAAAAATGTCACAATGCCTCAGAGACAACAGAGCATCACAGTCCACACAAAGAAGCAAGATAAAGCAGGAGAAACAAGGGACTAGGATACAGACCCAAAACACATCCCTGAGGAAGAAGTAGCATTGGAATTCTCTGATAAGGAATTCAAAAGAATTATATTTAGGTATCTTCAAAGGATTCAGAGACAGATCAAGGAAAAAACAGACAAAACCCCACAACAATTTCAAAAGATAATAAAAGAACAAAATGACAAAATAAATGAAAAATTAGAAATGATTCTAAATCTGCAGATAGAAATCCAGAAGATTAATACTAAATTGTCAGAAATAGATAAGACATTGAAAAAGCAAAGGAGTTAAATTGATACAATGGAAGACAAAATTAATGAGACTGAAGACAAATACCTGAATACCCCTTTGGAAAGGGATCAATCAGAAAAAAGATCAAAACAAAATGAAGAAAGCCTAAGGTTCATGTGGGATACCATCACAAGGAACAACCGATGTGTCATTGGAATTCCAGAACTGGAAGAGACAAATAAAACCACAGAAAAAATTGTCCAAGATTTGTTGGAAGAGAACTTCCCTGATATGATGAAAGATGAGAATATATCCATTCAGGAAGTCCAACAAACCCCAAACAGAAAAGACCCCAAAAGAAAATCATCAAGACATATCATCACCAAACTCACCAAAACCACAGACAAAGAAAGTATCATGAGAGCAGCACAAGAAAAACGAAAAGTTACCTACAAGGGGCAACCAATAAGACTACGCTCAGATTTCTTGACAGAAACCATGAAGGTGGAAAGACAGTGGGATGGTATATATAAAACCCTGAAAGAGAAAAATTTCCAACCAAGAATTTTGTACCCAGCAAAACTGTCCCTCAAATATGATGGTGAAATTAGGACATTTCCAGATAAGCAGAAATTAAGGGAATTTGTAAAAACCAGACCGATCTTATAAGAAATGCTAAAGGGAGCCCTTTGGACAGAGAAGCAACAACAGCCAACAACAACTGACCATTAACACACATGATGATATAACTCAGAAACCAACCAAGGTATTGAAGTACCCAAAGTAAATAAGCCTACAAGACTGTAGACAAGGAACCAGAGACATCAAATGACAAATGTTGACAACTACAAACCAAAAAAAGGGAAAAAAACTGTGTCATTACAGAACTTCTAGATGGCAGGGAAGGCAAGACAACTACAGGATAGAACGGACTGTTCTATACTTGGGAAGAGAACTATAAATCACAGGGTAACCTCAAGGAAAAATGATAAACCTTCACATCAAAATAAAAAAGAGGACCAGCACAAATATTTAGTAAATACTAAAAAAATAGCAACAAGAGAAATAACACGATTCATAAACAAAACATGCTCAGCATAGCAAATTATATGCAACAAAGAAATCAACACCACAAAAAAGCACATAAAAAAAATGACAGCAACAAATTTATATCTGCCAATAATTACATACCTGACAAGGGACTTATCTCTAAGATTTATACAAACTCCAACACCTCAACACCAAAAGAATTAACAATCCAATTGAAAAATGGGCAGAAGACATGACACTTCACCAAGGAGGATATTCAGGTGTCAGCTAGTACATGAAGAGATGCTCACAATCATTGGCCATCAGAGAGATGCAAATCAAAACAACAATGGATACTGTCTCACTCCAGCACTGATGGCAAGGTTCAACAAGACAGAAAATAACAAATGCTGGCGGGGATGTGGAGATATTGGGACTCTCATACACTACTGGTGGGACTATGAAGTGATACAACAACTGTGATTCCTTAGAAAGCTGGAATTGGAGATACCATTTGACCCAGCAATCCCTTTACGAGGTCCTAGAGAGGTGGGAGCCAAGTCAGGAACAGATATATGCACACTCACATTCATCACAGCACTATTTACAATATCAAAAAGATGGAAACAACCTACGTGCCCATCAGCGGAAGAGCGGATGACCAAACTATGGTACATATACAAAATGGAATGCTATGCAGCACTAAAGAATAATTTAGAGTCTGAAAAACACCATATAATATGGATGAACTTGGGGGACATTATGCTGGGTGAAATAAGTCAATCACAGAAGGACAAATATAGTATTAGTTTGTTGTTGTGGAGGGTCAAGGAAAGGTTTACATATGGAGGAAAACTTTCTTTCCTGGTTGCCAGGGGTGGGAGGGGAGGGAAGGAAACACTGCAAAAAAAAAAAAAAGCACTAACCCATGTCACTTTACTTTTGTGTATTTCACTGTACATAAATTATATTTCAATAAAATGCATTAAAATAAAAAGTTTAATTAGAAAAATAGAAGGGAAAACAAACCAAAAAATAAAAAAAAAACAATTCCTGTTGCTGTTCAGTCAATTCCGACTCAAGGTGAACCCATGCGATACAGAGTAGAACTGTTTCATAGGGTTTTCTTGGCTGTTACCTTAAAGGAAGCAGATCATCAAGCCTTTTCTCTTCCACAAAATAGGTACTGCTGTTGGGTTCTGATAATTAATCTTTAGGTTAGTAGTTGGGCACAAACTGTTTGTACCACCCAGACATTAGGAAAATAGAAGAAAGCTACATTAAATTGTAAAAACTTACCTGAATGGAAAGGAAACTGTTGCTTGGCTTCACCAGTATGTGCGTCCCAAATAATTGTAGTCTGAGAATAGAAAGAAAAGTAAATTGCTATGAAGTTAAAGACGCATCAATTAGATGGCTAATTATATTAAAGCAAAATGAAATGTCAGGACTGATTTTATTTTTAACATTTTATCGTAAACAATATAATGAGGATATTAACACCATTTCTGGGTGGGAAAAATAATTCAACAGTTTAATTTTTCCCTGGCGATTTCTCATCAGTCAACTCACTTCAAATAATAAGTATCAGTTGTCTACAAAATTTTATTAGATTTCACAGATCCAAAAGGAATTAAGTTATAGCCCTTGCTTAAAAAACTCCACTGAAATAATGTATTTAACGTAATATTCTTATAGCTTTTTAGTTATAAGACAAATTCTTGATTAATAAATCTAGTTCTCAATATTGAAAGGTTTTCAAAGATCCCATTTACATATAAAGACAGGTTGAATTTTGACAATACTAAAACATCCTTTATGTTACATCAAAGTACAATGTATAAACTAGAATGAGGATATTGAGGATTATTTTAATCCAGGAGATGACATGCTAATAGGGAGAATTAACACAGTGTGGTGTTGGAAAGGGAAGTGATGAGAAACTTGTTCAGGCCTTGCATTCAATTGGGCAATTGAAGCATGACAGAAAAGTGGAAAAGAAAGTGAAGGAGGCCAGGAAACTAAAGTATTGTAAGGGAGCTCTGGTGGTGTAGTGTCCAAGGCATTTGACTGCTAACCAGAAGGCTGGTGGTTCAAACCCACAAGCCACTCCTCGGAAGGAAGGTTAGGTATCACTCCTGTAGTGATACTGCCTTGGAAACTCAAGGAGGGGTGGCTATGAGTTAGATCTGACTCAATGGCAAAACACAACAAAGAATTGTAAAGGAGCTCTGGTGGCATAGTGGATAAGGCATTTGACTGCTAACCAGAAGGTCAGCAGTTCAAACCCACCAGCTGCTCCACAGAAGGAAGATGGGGGCAATCTACCTCCGTAAAGATTTATAGCCTTGGAGACCCAATGGGGAGTTCACTACCTGTTGGAACGGACTCAATGAAAGAGAAAGAGAGAGACAGAGACAGTATTATATACTGGCAGCAGTGATTACTAATAGGGCTTTATTCCCCTCCCCTTCCTGGCCTCCTTCACTTTCTTTCCATTTTTTTTGTCATGCTTTAATTGTCCAATTGAATACAAAGCCTGAAGTTTCTCATCACTTCCCTTTCCAACACCACACTGTGTTAACTCTCCCTATTAGCATGTCATCTCCTGGATTAAAATAATCCTAAATATCCTGCTCCCTTATTCATTTTGGAAACTGTAGTACAGAGGATAACATAAGGAAATGAAGGAGGAAAGAGGACATGTTTTAAACACATCCGTATTCACCATCCCAGTTAGGTGAGAAGAACTAAAAAGTTCCTGTATTTCTTACATTTTCAACAAAAAGCTACCAGGGGTCAGCTAACAGTCTGGCTCTAGGACTTCCTATGGAATTACTCCAGAGCCACATTTACTGATGAAATAAAATAGAAACTGTAGAAAGGTAAGGGAGATATGACATTCATTATGGCTCTAATTCCAAGAGAAATAAGGAGATGTCACACAGATAAGGCATGAAGGGCATTTTGATGAGTAGATTCAGGAATGAGCTCACAGAAATATATAAGACTATCATAAATTCAAGTTTGAATTTCCCAAATGTGAATGTTTTATTATTTGTATGACTAGCAGAGAAGACAAAACATTACTGGTCATTATACTATGTAACACATTAACTTTTACAGAATTAGTTTAATGTTCTTTTACCTTATCTACTCCAGCACTTAGGATGAAATTTCCTTTCTTGTTCCATTTTAATGCAAATATAGGGCCTTTATGTTGCCCTAAGGTGCTAGCAAGGTTACCTAAAATTTTAAAAGATAAACATTAAAATCATTAAAAACACTGTAACTCATATCAACAGCAACAAAGTGAAAAGGAAAACATTTCATTTACCATCTTTAGTCCATATTCTGGCAAATCCATCATATGAACCAGTTGCTAGAAGTGTCCCTTCACTCTGTCAGATAAACACATTTCTCTCAATTATACAACACAGAAAGAACATTTTATTGTTATTAAAATATTTCATGTTTGAATTCTAAGTAAGCAGACTCGGCATTCGCTGCTTCAGCCCAGTCTTTCTTATTTATTCGTGCCAACAAAGGCCTGTGAAACACCCTCACTGCTGTGAAGTTGGTGCTGTAATGGTAGTCATTAAGTTAGTATGTGAGGCATACCCAAAGCTCAACAATGGTAGTAACTGTTCTGAAGCAAGATCAACAGCATGAACATTAAAGGTCCACTACGTTCTCACAGATGCACAGGGCTGAGGATGGGGACAGGATGGCGGGCTGTGGAGGACATCAAAACCATAGTTTCGTATACAATGATTTAAATAGAAGTAAAAAGCAAAATCTTTCCAAATATTTAACTATGGTTAGAAGTTTTTATATGGCCCTCTAATTCCCTTACTTTCTTAAAAGAAATGTATATGTATGACCCAAACAATATTGCTGTTTCAAATGATTAGATTCTTAATTTTTATTTAATGTTTCTTTCCTTTGTTAATTCTTCCTCACTGTGAAATACTAACAAATAAAAAGAGCAACACAGGAAAAGAGCCCAAGAAGGCAAGCTGACTTTATGGTTAATAAAGTGAGTATAATTGCCTAGACTACTTTACCATAAACAGAAATCCACATAAATTTCTCTAAGGTGATATTCCCTTGCTGTGACCTGTCTTGATGAACAGCAAAAAGGAAGGAAAGCTCTACCTTATTCTGCGTAAGTGCAAAAGTTACAATTGCATTAAACAGATGACTGCTGGGATGAGTGAGTAAATGGTTCTGGAGACCAAGAATGAAATCCTCCTTACTCAGCACCTTCTTGCTTTTTTGTTAAGAGCACTCAAAACATGATTGCCTCACTTCAGACTTCTCAAGACATTTAGCTTTACCTGTGAGCAAAATATAAACCAAATGCTGGTTCTGGGGCTACGAACTCAGTCCTGCCAGGATTTGAAAAATCCTGTAGGGCTCTACCTGAGAGAAAAGAAACTGTGATGAAGCCAACAGCAGAAGTTTACTTCCAGAGTGTGCACATGAAAAGTTTCCTTTAAACTCATGGTCCCCAAATGTTTTAGTTCATGGATCATGAGAGCAGGTAAAGAATATATTAGAGATCAGATATCTCATAGGCTCTAGTTTTAGCCATAGAAAAGAACCATTATTCAAGGACAGTTTTTCTCCCTTTTAGTGGAAGATTCTAATTCATGGGAAATGATACATTTTTGAAAAGTGCACGATTTTTAAAATAATAACTTGCAGTTCAGAATCACAAGAAACATACCAATATTTGATAACTATCCTTCCTTTTCAGTGTAAACTGTTTCTTTAAATTAACATAGTCATGATTCAAGTAACATAAGAAAGTTATAAAGCCTCTGACTTAACATATACTAAGAACCTATATTAAGAAGATAATTCTTAGTCCTGATCTGACAACCAAATAATATTTCAATATGCTACGCTCCTTAAATTTTTAGAATTGTCAACAGTTTATAGAAGGGGAAGGTCAATGTATTAATGAAAATTTAAGAACACTAAAAAGACATAGGTTTGAGTTCTGGAACAATTCCACAGAAGCTGAGAACTTTAGCTGGAGTAACCATTTTTTAAAGATTGATATCATCCCTTAGAATAAAATTTGGAAGATTCTTTGGAAAGCCTCACAAAAAGTTTAACAAATGCCCTAGAAAGACTGGGAAAGGACACTTGCTGAGGAAAGGCCAGTTTTCTCCAGAAATCCTGGGCAATAATGAAATGGTCTAAGATGTGTGCATGTGTGTGTTGGGGGAGTGGGGATGGGGCACAAGTAAGAGATGTATGCAAATGATAAGGAAGGAAAAAGCCAACATGGCACAAAGGAAAAGATACAGAAACTAGGAAAACTAATCATGGGAATAATGGAGACAAACTAAGCCGGGAATCATCTATTTGAAACTAAAAGTAGAAAGCTTTATCAGCAATGAAATAAAATCTCTGTCAAAGTAGCTAAGTTACTCCAGAAAGACTGAGTCTGTCTACCTAATCTATAAACAGAATCGAAGAATAAAATGAAAAAATTTCTACAGCTGTAAGAAACCTTTGAAGTAAACAAGACTAATGGTCTCTAGTGGGCTAGAGACAATGAAGTTTTCATTAGTTCACAGCCAAATGAGAAAAACAAGAATTATTTTATTTTATTTTTTGGTTATACAGATTTCTTTATTCTCTAAAAGGATTTAGTTAAGGGCATAGTATGTGCCTGATACTGTGCTAAGTATTTGTATCAACAACCTCATTATGTAAGTACCATTATCATACTTGTACTTTACATGTGAAGAAAATTAAGTACAGAGTGAGGGAGTAAGAATTTTCCCAAGGTTATACTGCTGGATAAACAGAAGAGCTGTAAGTTGAATCTGACAACTCTAGGGCTAACCTTTGTTTTTAACATCCATTTGGAAGTGGGGACTCATAAGCCTGATATTCTTATAAGTAATGAAATCCAAAAATATCTGAATAAATAGACAAACCCTATCACTTGTCTGAGGCTCAGAAAGGTTCAGCGTATTAGTAACCACACCCACCCTGGATGATATAGTGATACTCACATTCCAATCTAGAGATGTTACATCCTTGTTGCTTGGGACATCTTGCCCTCCTTCTCGTATACAATGTCTAAGTACTAATTGTGTGGAGCCACTAGTGCTATTTTCACTAAGATTCCATATTCTTGCTGTTGAGTCTCCAGACCTATAAAGTATGCAATGTATTTGTTTTAAACCCTCATATTCTCAAGTATCACAGAATCAAAGGAACATATTTACATCCTATTATTAATAAAGAAAATAAAAACTAGACTAGCAGGAATTTTTATTACCAGTATTTTTCCCATTCTTCACTTTGTGGTCCTCAAGTGCTCCTGAAGTAATAAACTTAATTAAAACATCTAAAATTACTTCATGAAGGAATAAGATATACAGAGGCAAAATGATCACCAAAGTAACAACAAAAACAAAAACTTGAAAATGTAGATAATTTATAAAATGTATAATGATTCACTAAGATAAGAAAAGAAGCCATTTTAATTTCATTTTGATAAACATACCCTGATGCCAGGAGATCACTAACGGGGTTCCAGGCACAGATGAAAACTTCAGATTCATGTCCCCGTAATACCACTGCTTTATTAGGAGGGATTTCAACATCCCCATCCACTTCCATCATATCAGTATGATTATCTGTATCATGAGAAACAAGTGGAAAATTACAATGAGGTAATATTGCAACATCCTGGGGTAAAGAGGAAAATTTTAACCAGCAAATACCTAGTTTATAATATATAGTGTAACACTTTTACTATGTCAGGTTAAGCTGACAACTATATAGTCTTTCTCACATAAGAAATTCCTTTCTTTAGTTAAGTATGATTGTATAGGTGAGTGAGTATGTGTTTATGGGTCAGGTCAGGGAGAGTAGTAAGAAATGACTATAAAAGGTAAGACATAAATAGGCTAAAATGATAAAATGGTCTGAATAAAATATAATCCATGCCAATACTATTCTGTGTTTCTGCCAGTAGGGGTTGCTGATATCATTCATATCACATGAGAGTTGCCTTCATCGTATTTGTTAACAACAAGTATTACAATTTTTTTGGTTTTCTTTTTTATAAATGCAGCGGCAAAAATTCATTTAATAGTGAAAAACGGTCTCTGAAAGAAAATAAAGTCACTAAAAACAAATATAGCTTTGGCGTTGTAGAAATTAAAATACGAACTGGGTAATCCAAGTTAGGGGAACTAGTTGGCAATATGTGAAATATATGAAGCTATTTGATAAAATTACAGCTTAGACAATGGCACAGTCCTGGAAAGCAAAATTATTTCCTCTGAAAGGGAATTTTTCAAATTTCTGAGCTCACTTGCTATAGTATGTGCTCCATTCTCTTCCCCATTTGCTGTGTTTTCTCCATTTTTTGTAGATCCTTGTTGGTTTGTGGCAGCTGCGGCAGCTGCAGCAGCTGCAGCCTGTTGCTGTGCAAGCTTATCTCTATAAGCTTGTTGTCTTGTTTGTACTACATCAGGCATTACGGCATCTATCAGTGACAGAGACTCTATTGGTCGACCATCAAACAAGGTACCATCCTGGATTTGGAAAATTGTGACAGAAGAAAAATCAAAGGTAACATTAGGGTTATTTATATTCATACGTATCAGTAGCAGAGATGAAAACATCTTTGTTCCAAGAAAAACCACATTTAGATAATTTTCTAAACTCGTGTAAGAAGTAAAGCGGTCAGGAGGGAAGGGAGAAGAAAACTGCTTAGTGGCAACTGCAAATGGCTGTATAACGTCTCCTCTACAATTAGTTCACGTTGTTGTCAAATGTTACCAGATACAGTTGAAAATTAAAAGAGATAATAATATGTAGATAATAAAGGTTGTAATGATTAGATATAAAAATTATGTTACTCAAAAGCAATGAGCAATACAGAATAGTCCATATGATAATGTTTGGAACTTAAAATTGAGTGGTGGGGGCGGCTGGAGTTTAAAACAGCTTTGTTGGACTGAAAAGTTTCTCATTATTTGACTAAAATATTAAAAGCAGACATGGACTTCAGATATTATGCCATCCAATCATCACTAATGCTGAAAGGCACAATAAGATGCAAAGATTTGTTTATGGTCACACAGCTACTCAATGGCCTCCAGGATCACTTAATCCAGTGCTTTTTAAAGAATAATCCAAGGGTCAACAGCACTGCCATCACTTGATGCCTTATGAAAAATACAGATTCAAGAGCACAGATCAGAATCTCTGAGAGTGGGGCTCAAGAATCTGTATATTAACATCCTTTCTGGATGATTCTTATGCATGCTAATGTTTGAGAAGCACCATTATAACACACAGGAGTGTTGAATTTTATGGACTTTCTACAATTTCCCAAAGCTCCACTCACTGATATTAGGAACTTTACAATTAATAAAAAGATCCCCAGCAAGCACAAGAAGAGAAAAAGACACTGAAAAAAATCAGAAATAGAAAAAGTGCAAATTATCTAGGAGAATGCTTATTTGCACCCTGGCAATATTATACTTGAACTGGAGAACATGTACCACTGACAACCTATGGTAGTATGATGGGGTACTATGAATTAAAAAATACAGCACATCTTTCTGAATTATCAATTGTAATGGAATATTTGAGTAGGAGAAAGTATTTTAACTCATAAAATCCATTACTGTCTAGTCAATTCTGATTGATGACAACCTCCATGGGTGTCACAGCACTACTGTGCTCCACAGAGTTTTCAATGGCTGTTTTTTTTTTTAGATCGTCATGCCTCTGGGTAGACTTGAACTACCAACCTTTAGGTTAGAAGTCCAGCTAGTGGTAACTGTTTATACCACACAGGGATATTATTTAAACCAACTCAGATACACTGCAGAGAACTATGTAAAATTTTAAATAAGCATCATCCCTGGCCATGGCAGAATCTATCTATTCCCTTCTTAAATAAAGAGTACTTCGGGAGGGAAAGTGTTACAAGACAATAAGGATATATGTTAATTTAAGTACTAGTGGGTGTTTTCAGTCATAAAGATGAGGAAATTCAAAAAGAAGAAATCAATTTTAATATGTTATTATTGTTAGGTGCCATATAATTTTTAATAATAAAAACAAATAAACAAATATGTACACACACACACACACACACACAAAACCTGCAAAAGCCAGAAACCTTCACAGAAGGGAAACAAAAATATTTCCCCTAAAACAAGCAACAGAGAAGTGGTAAGACAGCACCCTGTCAAAGGTGGGTAACTTGCGAGATCCAGTAAAACAAGTAGTCCTGTGGAGTTCCAGCTCGCACAGGTTTCAATGCACTTGGAAATACTTGGATAAGTATTAATCTCTGACATAAAAATAAGGCTAAAAAACTACCGATACATGAACTTTAAGCAACAGCATCATGGGTTGGCTTCAATTACAAATTGCCTTCCAAAATTAGGGCATATAATCTTTCAAATAACTCAAGATTTCTAATTGCTCAATTACGATTCTCAACATTCCATAGCACAGTACTATTTTAATGATTCTCGTTTCATTAGAAAAACTTAGCAAGACATATGCTATAGATAATGGTCTGCACAATTGGGAGCCAACATGCAAGGGTGTGCAACTTGACTGCAACATTGAGAATAACGTCCTTCATTTCTGTTACATCACTGAAGCTTAAGAAAGATAGGGAGTGAATAAACAAATAAGATATCTGATTTAAGAACATATTTAAGAGTATGAATTAGTATTTGAAATGTCTTCCTTACCTCATTAATACTAACTTCCGCCTCTACATACTGTAGACCTTTCTGGATGATAGAAATCAATGCAGCAGGTGGGACAAGGGCACCATTTATATTGGACTGACTGATATGGCTTTCTATGCCAAAGGTAAACGCAGAATGAGAAAATCCTAAAAGTTAAAGAAAGAAAAAAGGAATTAGAATTTATTATCCTAGTCACAACATGGTAAATGACACAAATGAAAAACTTCTAAAATCTTTCAAAATCATGTTCTACCCATTTGAAATCCCAAAGTAGTTAACTTAGGTTCTTGCTTAGTAAAAACAACTTACGTTTTTTAAAAAAGAAATAATCAAACTCCAAACATGCTTCCCTTTATATATTTCCTTTCTCTCTCTGATTATTTACTGAACTCTTAAAATTTTCTAGTATATACTTGATTGGATAGCTTCAAATTTTACAAACTTTAAAGTTTTGGTACTTTTTATTGAGGAACATTTCTAAATGGAAATCATGTCGTTCAACTGTGAACTCAAGACAATTATCGCTAAAGCAAACTGTGGCATTTAATATTTCTGTTGTTGTTGTTGTTATGGGCCATCGAGTCGGCCCCGACTCATAACGACCCCTCCTTGGGTTTCCGAGGCAGTATCACTACAGAAGTAGGATTGCCCAACCTTCCTTCTGAGGAGTGGCTGATGGGTTTGAACCACCAGCCTTCTGGTTAGCAGTCAAGTGCTTTAGCCACCATGCTACCAGAGTGTAGAATATATAAGTTTTTACATTAAAATTGTGAAACAAATTCAACATTTTTCAGTTTGTATTAAAAATACTGATGAAATAAAAGGTAAATTAAAGCTAATATATGAAATGAAAAATGAAACTTAAGAATGAAAAAGAATTTTTTCTACACTTAAATGAAATTTCATGTAAGAATTAAGTGCTGTTTTTTAAAATTGATTTTTTACCACTTAGTAATAAATGCACTTAAATAAATATTTACAAAATGGAGAGCCAACAAATGAAAAATGAACTTTGTATCTTCCACCAGAAATTATCTTACTTTAACTTGAAATACTTAAAACCTGAATACTCACACAACAAAAATGTCTTCATTTTAGAATATTCTCCAATGAGACTTTGAACAATGAAACAGACTTTTCCATCAATTTAAAGTAAGAGGGAGACTGGGGTGCAGGAGTTATTTATGTTGGCCTTGTGTATGAACAAATTGATAAACTGATAGACCCAAGAATTTTCACCAAAGAATCTAACATAACTTATCACTAGGCAGTAACTGCTATTAGTATTTTTAAACAAATTAACTGAATTGTATATGTAATATAGAAAGTTTCATACAGAATGGTATAATAAATCTGGGCTTGTTTTGGGTCTTGGTAAAACGGACTTTATATATAATAGCACTCTGTTGTCCTAGACTGTCAATCCTAGTTTTCAGTGCTCAATACATCTTTTTTTTTTTTTCTTTTTGCATTTGTACTTACACTGCTAGGTTCCTGTGAACTTGTGAACATTCTGTAATAAGATATTGTGGGCTGCTCACAAATAGCATGTGGTTAGGTAATATTTTAATTGGTTAATTGACAGGCAACAGTACCTAAGTCGATTGTCCTTATAGCTCCCCTACTTCTCCCTTCAGAGTACCTAAATTATTCTGTGCCTATAACTCATATTGAGAGAGACAAGAAATTAAGTTAGCTTAAGACCTTTATTTTAACCTCATGATTTCACCCACAGGCAAGATCATAATTAAACACATTTATAAATAGTTTTCAGGTTAATCTGAGCTATCAGAGATGGCTAAGAAGATACCAAGGAAAAAAGCGGGCAAGAGAACACATTTTTACATCGTTATCTCTCAGGAACCCACAACCACTTGAATTTGAGATTCCGTACCATCAGGGTGGAAAGTGGAGAAAGGACTGGGAAGGACAGGGAGAAAGGGTGAGAGAGGTGGCAGTAAAATCTCTAAGCAGTGAGGTCAGATATTCCTGTTTACAATTTAAACCCTTCCCTAAATAAATCCCTCAGTAAATCATTAAAAAAAAAAAAGCAGCCAAATGGCTTAGAGATTTAAGAAGGCTTCAAGAGAGAAGATACCACTTACAGAGAGCCTACCATATGTCAGAAACTGTGTGCACATGCATATAATCTTATTATCTTATAATTTGAATTACAGCTGGGAAAATACAGCCACTAAGTAATAGAACAAAATTTTTAACTCATTCATACACCATGACCTTAACCAATACACTCTACTGCTCTTTTTGAACAGCTAAAGTGTAGTCAAGGATAAAGTTAAGGCAGAATATTTACATTCATTGATAGGAAGTACAAGATTGTGTACTTCTCTTTTCAACTCAGGGTCTTGAAAGTGGTGCAAGGAATATCATAAAATACAAAAAGAACTTATCAGCCTTATTTACTCCAAGGTTCATAAATATTTTGATTTAGATAAGGCTTACAAATTGTAGCAAAGTTTATGTTTTCTGTACTCTATTCACAGGGGCATTTTACTCAAAATCATTACATTTAGATCCTGTTAAATTAGCTGATAGAGTTTCAGCTTAAAGTATTAATATGTCCAAGGACATCTGTCTTAGTTCTCTAGTGCTGTTGTAACAGAAATACCACAGGTGGATGTCTTTAACAGGAATTTTTTCTTTTACAGTTTAGGAGGCTAGAAGTCTAAACTGACAGTGCTGGCTCTAGGGGCTGGGTGAAGGCCCCTTGACCTTGGGCTTTAGCTCTGCCTCTTGTTCCAGGCCCAGTGGAGGTGGAGGATTCTCCTAACTCATGCTGCTACTGAATGCTAAAACTGATGAACCCAAGGTCAGCAGGTAAAATGGCACAATCCAAAGATCAGCAGGCAACATGAGAGGCCACTGGTTCAAGTCCAGGAACTAGGATGAACTAGGATGATGAAGACTTGGCCAAATGCAGGATTCAAAAGGTACAAAATAGTTAGAAACCCATCCCAAAGTTTTCTCTATATCCTGGAAGCAGGCCACATCTTAAAGGCAATTCCCTGGTCCACTGATTAAAGTCTCACAGCAGATTCCACCATTAGTTGATTATACCACATCCAGGTGCCAAGCCACTCAAAGTCACAGCTCAGTTAAGTCGACACACAACCTCGACCTACCACAATATCATAAAGAGCTGCAGTTGAAACCATGTCAATTTTAGGCTGGAACGTTACATCTATTTGGAATTAGTTCAGTCAGATCAAGAGAGAAGTTATCACAGGTGCTTGTATACTTTTCAAGTTACCTCAGATGTGCTTAGAATGCTCTCAACCAGCAATGAAACAACACTGAAGTAGTCATTAGCATTGTTTTGGCACTTCTCATTGATGTTTACCCTAGAGAAGTTCCACACTTCAAAATCTCTACTTACATAAACATGGAATTCAACTATAATTTTTTTCTTTATTTCCAGTCATAGCATTACATGGCAGCTTAAAATAATTAGGTTGAAAGGTATACTACTTTTCTCCTTCCCCTCCATAAAACTTTTTTCCTTTAAATTTCTGATCTTATTTTATCGCACCTGGAAGTCATCCTAACTCCCACCTCTGCATCAGCCATTTGCCAACTTATATCATCCTCCCTCTTTGAACTCTGCCATCATCTTTCATCTGCCAAAGACTGAGTTCAGTCACCATCACTCTTTGGCTGGACTACTACTGCCCAAAGTTCTTTTCCTCTCTTCTTCAGTTCAGTACATTTGCTATATTGCAGCTAGAATGTTATTTCTAAAACACAAATTGGTCATAATATTTCCCACTCGAGTACTTTCAATGATCCCTTTGGCCTTCATAATAAAGGCCAAACTCCTAAATATGGCACACAACTATTTTTGAGGTTGACCCTACCTATCTCTAGAGCTTCATCCTTCTAACTCCATGTCCCCACTCTTTTTTCCCATTGCACATTAAATTCAAGTGATGGCATATTACAAATAACTTCTCAAGTAACGCTATATTAATCATTCCCTTGGGCCTTTGAGTGTGCTGTTTATTCCTTTCTTCCTATTCTCCTCTCCCCTACTAAAGGGTGGGCAAGTCATTCCCTTCACTGCCCCAAGGTTAACCATTCTCTACTACGCTGATCCTACAGTGTGTATACACATCTGTGTGGTACCTACCAAACTAAATGTTATCGTGAGACAGTCTGTTAGACTAGGCTGCATTAAGATAGGGTTTATTATGTCTAACAACCTTTTAATTATGGGAAACTGGCACATTATGTTATTTAACAGGTGCTCAGTAAATGTCTGTTCAACTGAAATGCAATGCCACCATAATGTATGTTGGCACATCAGAAAATCTATGACGACAGAAGTACGTGATTTACGTCTTCCTGAAAAACAATCCAAAAATTGAAACTATTTGTGCCTGAAAATATTGCCATTTATCTATAGACAGATATGCAAGAAACACTTTCAGGAACAGCTTCTGATTTATACAGTGAAAGGCAAAAAGGGATCATCTGAATCTGTAGAAATGTTGAAATATGCCATGATTGCCAAATAGAGCATCCCTTCTTTCCAGAGGAAAGAGTAAATCTGATATGAATGTTGTTGTTGTTGTTGTTATATGCCGTCGAGTCGGCCCCCGACTCATAGCGACCCCTCCTTGGGTTTCCGAGGCAGTATCACTACGGAAGTAGGATTGCCCAACTTCCCTTCTTTCCAGAGGAAAGAGTAAATCTGATATGAATAGTAGCCCCGTAATCAAGTTCTCTAAATATTCACTATGTAATTAAGATTTGAGAGATAGAAAAGAGATTCCAGAGAGAAATCAGACTAAAAATCACAAAGGTCAGTATATAGTAATTCAGTGAGAGAGAAGAGCAATGACAGGGAGTGTGTGACATGAGACCATGAATGACTCACACGTAAGAAATGAGATTACAAAACCACCATCTTCAACATACAGTTTCTTTCAAGGTGTGCCTTCCTTGGGACAGTAAGGATTATGTTTGCAAAGGGGCGTTAGTTCTCCACAGCCTACCAGTTACAGAGTACAGACCTAATAGCAGCACCTTAAGAAAAAGGGCTTTGAATACCATGGTTAAAGTACAAGGTGTTTCAACAAGAAAAGCTGATGAAAAGACGCAAAGCTAAGCTATTATCACAACACAA